CATCTCGAGCGCTGGTTGTGGACGATATTTGCGTTGCATGAGTGTATTGATCACACTAGTAAGCTCACCCGTCCGCCTCAAGTTTTCAAAAACCCAATTCAAAGTTCGTTGTCTCTCGCTAACTTTAGCATCCTCTCCCCGCCCAGTGCTTTTTTTCCTTTTTTCCGAAAAACCTTATAATATTGAGCTTTTCAGCCCGTCGCCCCTCGTCTGGATATTCGGCGTCGCTTGCTTGAGAGGTGTGTGTGTGTGTGTGTGTGTGTGTGGAGGGGAGGAAAAGAGGGTGTCGTTTACTTGTCTTACTTTCTTTCATATCTGTTCTTGGCGTCGTCGTTTGTGTGAGTGGTGTCGTCTGATTAACCTGAGATTGTCGTGTTTTTACCCTTTTTCTTCTCCTGTGTCGTCGTTTTTCTCGAGGCCTACCAGTATTCTTCTGTCCAGATATTTAGTGTTGTTCTGATTGACAATTGGAGGTATGTCGCAATGGGTTGTTTCTTCTCCCCCCCCCCCATTCGCTTTTTCGCTTTCCTCTGCCGTCGTGGTTGGGTCCCACGGGTGTGGCAGGCGATCGAGAGCCTGCTCTTTTTTCTTCATGATATATTTGTACTAGTTGTTTTTTTTTATTAAGAAAAAAGTCTCATCGCTTTTGTTACGTTGTTTTGCTTTTTCCCTGAGATTTTTTTCGTGTTTATTTGTTGATAATTTTCTTTTGCTGTTATTGTTCGTGCAATTTCTGTTTTAGAAGCGGTTGGTTGGAGTAGGGCTTCCTTTTTTCCGCGCGTTGTTTCTTTCAGTGTGTCATATTTCTTTTACCCAGTACAGGACGTAAGTTCTTTTAAGTTGATGTCCTCGTAGAACAAAAAAATGCCTTTTAACCCTATCTGTACGTCGTGTTTTACTGTATCCATACGACGTGGACAACTCTGTGCCACCACTTTCCAAAGAGGATTTTTACTCGTTAATGCGATCTGTACGCTTTGCATAGCCGTCTGTCAAAATGAATTTTTTGAGAAATACCGAAAGTTTCATAGAGATTTTCGCACTTGAAGTATTCTAAAATGCGAAAAATACAGCCCCTGGGCTACCAAATGACCCCTGGCGTACGGATAGGGTTTGACAACCCCACCCCCCTTTCCTCCCTCTTCGAGCGCACTAATTATACTTGGTCATTTGACAGGGGCACTTCTGAAGCATGCCAAGTTTCTGTTCAAGTTTCAGGAGTCAATAATATTCATCTGTTCTGCTAGCCCAGGATTATCTCCCTTGATTAAGCTGAGTAATGATCCCTATACCCACTATCAGCCCGTATTGCATAATTACCTTGTCCTTCAGCAAGACTGAAAATGCGCCGTCACTTTCTGGGCGGATATCAAGGACCTTAGGAGATTCTATTGATAAACTTCTCTGCGGGTTTTATCTGTACCGTCTTCGTTTTTGTGTGTGTTACGTTGGAAACGGGTTTTGTGGGGTTGTCGGTTGGGTGGGTAAAGCACTCTCTTCCCCCCCCCCCCCCTGTCTTTCTGTACTTATAGTATAGGTCCAAGTGAAAATGACATTAGGTAAAAACAAAAAGAGAATCAAAACAAACAAGCAAACAAACAAACAAATAACAACATCAAAACAAACGAAAAGAAAAAAAAAAGAAAAGAAAAACGGGTAAAGCCACATGTTCAGCTCAGGAGAAAGTCAAATGTTAACTTTCAAAACAGTGGACTTCGATCGTCTTTTTGTGTACCGGTTTATTAAACATGGTCTTAACTCACGTCAGAGCTTGTTGTCTTCCTTGACTCTGGATACTGCGGGTTGTTGGAGGGCGCCGCTGATGGGCCCTCCTTCTTTACGTTCTCTTTGTTCTTTCTTGTTTCTGTCTGTCTTTCTGTCGTACTCTGAAAGCAGTGCACAAGCGTAAGGCAACAATATAGGAATTTGGAATTTCCGATTTTTGTCGGGTTTTTTCCCAGTTTGGTGTCCAAACTTTGAGGACTTTCAAAGGTAGACACATTTCACCCAGTGTCCTGCTTCAAATTGTAGTTTTACTGTAGTTGAACTGTTCTGTGGAGAGTTGAGACAGTATAGATTCTGTTGTCTTTTCTCGCTCCCTCCTCCGCTCGTCCAACCTCCTGGTCTTTCTGTCTCTTCTGTGGATGTAGTTATTTTCCTTTCATGAATTTTCCACCTTGTTGCTACGTGTGCTCTTGTCTTGCAAATTCCATGGTGACAGAGTGTTTGTCCAGCGGAGAAGAGTAACACCCGACATGTCGAATGTATATTGCCGTGATGCAAGTGCCGTTAAACTCTTGACTCTTTATGAAAACGAACCTGGAGGGCCTGGAGGTGTGCCAGGTGCACAGGAAGCAAGTTTAATCAGAGAGTTTACAGTAGTAATACTGTAAAACTCTCTAGTTTAATATTCTCGTCGTGTCTGCGCACACTGTATTAAAATTTGGGGTGTTTGCTCGGCGAGTTTGGTGTGGTCGATTTCTCCTCCTCCTTGCAGTGTTACTCGTATCCCGCCGGTCTGTACCCGGTGAAATATGGCTTTTATCTTGATAGTTCAACATAACAACAATTCACCCACAGTGTGTGTGTGTGTGTGTGTGTGTGTGGGTGTGTGTGTGTGTGTCCCGCACGCATGTGTGTGTATGCGTGTCGTGTGTCCTAGTGGGCGACATTAGAGTGCACAAGAGTGGTTGGCAAGTACCGTTGTGCTTTTTTATCTCGTTCATCTTCTTTTTGGGTGGTGCTTTTTGTTTTAGTACTGTTCGGCTCATTCGCTGACTTAATGGGTGATTAGACGAAGCCTCCATTAAGTCCTGCTCCCCCCCCCCACCCCCACCCCCGTCTGTATTGCTCTTGTGGATGGTTTGCGGGTGCTCTGGTGTGTTTTGCTCCTTTTTTCCTATCAAACATCTATCGTCCTTGTCTCTCCTCCTTCTTTTTTGTGTTTGTTACTCTCTTATAGCGCATCTGATCATCAGCACTTATATATGACTTAATTGTGTTGCAAGTGCTTTGAAACGCTTTAGAAAATTAACAAAAACATATTGCTCTTCAATCTCTGAGTGACCATGATTGTGTCATTGTGCTACTATTTACTCAAACAAACTCTTTGGGTGGGTGGTTGGCGGGTGCTCTGATGTGGTTTGCTTCTTCTTTCCTATCAAACATCTATCGTCTTTATCTCCCCTTCTTCTTTTTTATGTTTGTTACTCTCTTGTAACACCTCTAATCTTTGGCACTTGTATGACCTTATTGTGTTGCAAGTGTCGTGATATGCATAATCCACCTCCCCAAACAAACAAACCATAACACTGTGGGTGGTTGGCGGGTGCTCTGATGTGGTTTGCTTCTTCTTTCATCTATCGTCCTTATCTCCCCTCCTTTTTTTAAGTTTGTTACTCTCTTGTAACACCTCTAATCTTCGGCGCTCATATGACCATATGCAGTTGCGAGTGCCGTAAAACTTCTACTAAAACAGAAACAAAAACATTGCTCTTCCAAGCTTCGAACGACTGTGATTGTGCCATTGTGCTTCTCTTTACTCAAACAAATTGACTTTTTACCTGAGAGCCAAAAGTCTCCTTCGTTTGAACTGGGATTAGGTGAAAGGGATAATAATGTTGATCTTGTGTTGTGATTTGGCACCAGAACAGTTTCATTTGTGTTGTGACCATTGTGTTGTGACCATTGTGTTGTGACCATTTGTGTTGTGACCATTGTGTTGTGACCGTTGTGTTGTGACCATTGTGTTGTGTCTGCCTTGTTCTTGACATGTCTTGCTTGTGTTTGTTTCCTCAGGCAGGCGTGGCAAGCTCTAGGCAACATGTCCAAAGAAGTGGCGATGGCGGAATTTGTGGAGAAGATGGCGGACTCGTGCTCTCTGTTTGAGCCCCACGTAGAGGCTCACAAGGCGGAGAAGGAGGAAGCTGCCAAGAGAGAGTGAGTTCGTTTTTTTGTTTGTTTGTTTTTTTTAACTTTTGAATTGTACACTGTTTTCAATGCAGTGAGGATACTGAAGACCAGGGACTGTGGTGTAAGGGTTAGGCTCTTTGTGGGGACATATTATTAGAAAAAGGCACTTTTGATTCGGAGGGAGGGGAGGGGTTATGTATACACCTTTTCTGTGTTACCTTGTTTTACAGATTTCACATTGATATTGATTGTTTCTTTCTTACAGTTTGCCCAAAATATTGCAGAGAGAAGTTAGGTGATTGTTGAGCCCTCTCAGAGGCATTTATTTAATTTTTCATGCGACATGTTGCAACTTCACTTCTGAAGAATGCTTCAGTTTATTTATCACTCCATTACTGGCACCTCATATTGCCCCCTATCTTTTTCCAAATCTTTTGTGTAGTGATGACTTTTATGTGTTTTAGAATTTAAATTTTGTAGAGGTCAGACATGAGTGGTTGGAGGACGCAGCTGGCAGATTCTACTTCTTTTCCATCCTTTTGTAGTTTCTGTCCATCTGTCTCACTTTTTTTCCAAGCATTAAGTGGCTGTTATTGTGTCGATGTACTTCTCTTGTACTCATACAAAAAACATTAGTAAGTCAGATGACGCATGTGGGTTGGAGAAAAGCTTCTGAGCTGGTCTTTGTTCTGTACACCGTACACCCTTGGCACATGCAAACGTTCATTTTAATATCTAATTATTTCAGATGTAACAAACATCTTATTGAAATTCTTGTTTTCCCCCCTGTCTGTAGGAAAGAGGAAGAGGAGAGAAAGAAGGTGGAGGAAGAGGAAGCAAAGAAGAAAGCTGCGGAGGAGGCTGCCCGACAAGTTCAGGAGGCAGAGAAACAGAAACAGCACGAACAGGAGTAAGTTCTGTCACTTTGACATTTTCTTTTTCTTTTAATATCATGCCACTTTACTCTTGGAGGCCATCAGCTGCAACTACACATCTGGTGTAGCATGTCCACGGGCTTGTGCGATTTCTCCAGGAGAAACACAGGGATTGACCAAACCTCTGTCTCTCTCACTTTTTTGTGTTGTCTGCAGGTCTGGAAAACATGCTCAGCAGTCTGTGGTCAGCTTCTTGGTAGCACTGTTGTCTTCTATGATTGCTGGACACCCGATTTTAGGGATCACCAATAATGCATAACTCAGTTGGTTTCATGCTGCATTATTATGCGAATGGCACTTGTTTGAATCAGCGGGTGGTGATGTTCTTGGTATGTGCTTGTTTGATGAGTTTTCAAGGCTCTTATTAGACGGACGGTAAATACGGAGGTCCCAGCTTTTAAATCATATGACGTTTCAGTCAGTTTTCTAGAGGCATTTAATTCCTATCAATTAGAGCTGGAATTGTCCAAGATGGCCATCTATTGTCGAGGAGAAAAGTGGATGTCTTAGACAGGTAGACATCTTGGATAGCGTTATTACAATATAGAAAAGAAAAATCGATTGTACCTGTTTTCTTCTATGGTCCTTTTCTCTTACTCTGTTCTGGGTACATGTGGTCTTTGTCCACCTTTATTCACTAGACTAAATAGCAATTATGTCAATGCGCTTCTCTTTATTTAAAGACTGTACTCTAGTTTATGTACAAGGAACTGATGTCTGTGCTTATGGGTTCTTACAGACTACAGATTCGAGCTGCCCTGAATCAACAAACAGCTGCACAGTTCAGACAGTATGCTGAACAACAGTATGCCAACAACAAGGAAATGGTAAGTCTGGCTACAGTTTGTAGTTTTTGGTAACAACGTAGGGAATGCTCTTGCTTAAAAAAAAAAAATTTGAGTTAGATGAATTTTTGTTCCAGTTTTTCTATTGGCGATTGTGGTGGGCACCACTGGTAAATCCTTCCTTTTTACTGTCCCTCTTTTAATTCTTTTTGTATTTGTTGTGGAATTAACATATGTTGTTTAATGGTTATGTTCTTTACTTTTGCACGCTAAAGATGTGAGTTTGATTCTCATGTGAAAAAAATATATTTAATAAAGTTTCTCAATCATTCTGGTGGGTGGTTGACTGCTACTTGGAAATGGTTTGCCCCTTCTTTCGTATCAAACATCTATCACCTTGACTCCCCTCCCTTTTTTTAACACCTTTTATTTTCAGCACTTATAAGACCTAATTATGTTGCAAGTTCAGTGAAACTCTTACAGAAACAATCTATCTGCTCCGATGCTGTGTTCCTCTCCGCCTGGGTAGACCCTGACAGACACGGTGGAAGCAGCCTGCCCTGAAATAAATCTAAATTGTGTCAATGAAGGTGTTAAATATCTACATCCATTTGCTCTCTTCTAGTTGATGCTACAGCTTCGCAAAGTTATTTGCTGACATGTGGGTGGTTAGTGGGTGCTCTGGTGTGGTTTGCGCCTTGTTTCTTAGCAAACCTTAAATTTCGACACTCATATGACCGAATTGTGCTACAAGTGTCATAAAACTCTTACTGAAAAAGAGGCTCACTTCATGAGATTTGGAACTTTTGGCTTTATGAGTGTTAATCCCAGTCTAATAAGTACATACAGTTTACTGTGTTTATGCAGGTAGTTGGATATTGTTGATGTGCTTCTTTTTAGTCAGATTAAAGTGCTCAAATTTCATTTTAAAGTTTATTTTTGAATTTTGTTTTTCAGCAAGACGACCTGATCAAACAGCTACAGGACCAGCACTTTCAGCAGTACATGCAACAAGTTTACCAACAACAGCTACTGCAACAACAGCAACAACAGCAACAGCAGCTGCAACAACAGTCCGCCACCATCACGGCGACCAACATCAACACCCCTAACGGCGAGGTGACGACTGCGGTCGACAATGGAAACAACAACACGTCCCCAGTGCCTGACGGTGTCACGCCGATTCCCCCCGGTGGTGACGATGAAGAAGGTAAATTTTCCTCTATATCCCGGCCCCAGAACTATTTTGTCCAAAGTGTACTTAAGTAAAGAGGGCACTTTGGACTGAATAGTTCTGAGGCAACGATATATTTGTAACTACCTTTTAATAGGTCTTTCATCTATAAACGTATTGTTGAGACGGTTATTTTGTCACAGGTTTCTGGCTTCATATATAGGACCAAATTGTGTTGCAGCTGCTGTATAACTCTTCACTAAATGTGGGTATTTAGCAGGTGCTTTGATGAGGTTTGCTCCATTTTTTCTATCAAACATCTATTGTTCTGATCTCTCCTCCTTTTTTATGTTTGTTACTCTATTGTAACACCTCTTTAATCTCCGTCACTTAAATGACCTGATTGTGTCGTGCAAGTGCTGTAAAAGTCTTAGTTAAACGAAAAATTTAACAAAACTGACCATTATTGTGTCAGGTGTGCTTCTCTTAACTCAAACAAACAATAGAGAGCACTTTTCACTGTTGCTGTGATCGTTGTCTATTCCTGTTACAGTGTAGAGGTATCTTGCTATTTTATCATCATAAGCTGGAAAATAGCGACCACTCTGCATTGTGGAGGATATCTGTCTTTTGAAATTTGATTTACTGGTATGGTATTAAGTTTACAGACCTTCTTAGGGGGTGGTTGGAGGGAAGCACTGGTAGAGCTTACTTTTTATCTTTCCCTTATAGTCTGTCTGTCTGTCTGTCTGTCTATTTGTCTGTCTTACTCTTTCCTGCCCTAGATAACTGTTATTGTGTCTATGTGCTTCTCTTTAAAAACAGAAACTAAAAACCTGTAAGGTAATTTTAAGAGGCTAGTTCAGTTTCCTTAAAAAACCTTAAAAACTTTGTCCTTCATCTATTCCATTTTGGAATTGTGGCTGTGTGCCGCCCTCCAGCCGCTATCACATCAGTCCCCAAAGTAGTGCCGGCCTCCCTGTGGACCCGCAAAGACCTGAGAGAGTTCAAAGATGGTCTCAGGTCGTCCAAAGAGAATGTGGTTCGAATCGGGTCCCTGGCCACAGCCACGGTGAGCCAACTTCTGGCTGCACCACTTGTTCTGTGTTGATCGTTTCTATATTGTTCTCTGGTTTTCTTGTCATATCAGAGTCTTTTTTTATGTATTGGCTTTCATCGTATGAGCAATAGTGGTCCACGCTTACACCTGTTGTCTGTATGTTACGTCTTAGCACCCAGACTCGAAAGGTTCCGTCTAAGAAAGTGGGTGGTTGGAAGGCCCCACTAATACGTCTTACTTCTTTTCTACCTCTCTGGGTTGTTGTTTTTTGGTCTGTCTGTCTGTCAGTCTTGCCTTTCCTTGCACATATTGACTATTATTGTGCACATGTTTCTCTTTAACTGAAAACATCTTAGAGATATTATTAGTATGGACGGAACCTTTTGACTTTTTGTCTTTTGAGTAACGAAATGTATGGCGTTATGAGGTACCAGTGTTTCACCGTATTCAATTCTTGGAACTGTTGAAGTTTCTGTGTTTGAGTGACTTTGATCCTTGTATGTCTCACATTTCGTTTCCACTCTATGCTGCACTCTTTGTCAGTCAGTGGTATGCTGGGCCACCATGATAGGCTCCCAAGGGGCCCATGAAATTCGTCAGTTTTGTCTCTTGGTCTGCCTGTCAGTGCATGTTTTGTGGGTACTGCTCTTGGTTGACTGTCGTTATAGTGTACTGCTGAAGCTGTTGCACAGACATCAAATCAATGGTTAGTTATTAGTTTGTTGTTAAATGTTTCTTTTTTATCCTTATTTGTCAAACAGTTCTGGACCCATCAGGACAAACAGTCATTTATATCTCTTTCATAATGTTTAGCGGATGTGAAGTAGTGAGTCTTAAAATACTAATGTCATTTGAACTTTTCATCCCCAAGAAGTAGCAGATGGTGCTAAAACATTGAATTATAGATACCTTTCCCATGCGTTAAGGTTTTGAAAAAGATTTATTTTAGCTTTTAAGCTTTATTTTCTTAGATCTGCACCGTTCTTAGGATTCTGCTAATTGTTGTCTTTATTGCTTCTTTAGGGGTATGTCAAAAAAGAGTTCTCACTCATTTCATCTTTCAGATTGCTGACATTAGAATCAGTGTGCTCTTTAAAAAGATTGTCAAACACATGTTTAAAGATAGATTCTTTGTTCTTTGGAACATACCGATTAGACAAGAAGCAAATGTTGCAACTGGCATCTGTGGCGTCATTGTTAGGTTGTTTCCAGTTACACGCAGATTTGAGTTCAGTTCCCATGAGGTGCAGTTATTCTCTCGAGTATCAGTCTTTCTATACTGACTGTTTGTCTAGTAGGAACAGTTGTCTGATATCCCTTTATTTGAAGTACATCTGATTTGTTTAGGAAAATAAAAATGAAGTCAGTTTGATAACACTATTCTTTTTAAGAGCATACTTATGTAGTAGTTGATAAATGGATGTGTTGAAAGTGTGTGCAACTGTGGGGGAAATGCTGTATTTGAGGAGAAGGTACTAACATGGATGTTGTCTGTGGCTACTGTGCTCAAAACAGTTGTTAATGGAACATTTGTCTGCCACAAGGGAGTTCAGGCTGCCTGTTTCCTTGATCACACCCAAGCAGTTAAAAAAAACGTACACTGTTAGTGGATGGTTGATGGGTGCTCTGGTGTGGTTTGCTCCTTCTTTCCTATCAAACATCTGTTGTCCTTAACTCTCCTTTTTGTGATTGTTACTCTCTTGTAATAACTCTAATCTTCGACAAATATAAGACATTGTATCGCAGGTGCCGTAAAACTCACGAAAATTAAAACTAAGTAAAGTACACTGTTTATAAAGACACACATGTTGGTTTCAGGGACCCCCCCCCCCCCCCCTCCCCAAAAGAAATATTTAAAAACAAACCAAAAAAAAGTATTTAAAACCCAATTTTAAAAACCCAAACCCACCAGTTTGGCGTTCATGTGTACGTCAGTCTGATGTGTAGTGTTTGATGTTGTGGCTTCAGATTGCTATTGTGCTTTTTTGGCCTCTACTTGTGTCATATACACTCATTTTCTCTCTCTCCCCCACCCTTTCTTTTCTGTCACCCCCACCCATCCCCCCTGCACCCATACCTCGATGCACCTGCTCCTGGCTTGATGTGTAGATTATCCCCTGGCTGTTGCCTCAATGTGGACGAGAAAAGACATTAAAGAGTTCAAGGACTCCTTGAGGAAAGATAAGGAGTCTGTTATAAAGATAGGCTCTGGAGAGACTGTCACGGTGAGTTTGGATGGTTACAGATTTTTGGTGTGGCCTGAACGTGGCTGCTCTATCTGTCCATAGCATTGTAATGCTTCTGAAATTGAACTGTTTTTGGAAAAAGGAGAAGACAGAAATTTATGATTTTTTTCAGCGAGGGCAGAGAGGTATGATAAGTGCTGAGAAAAGATACAGGGCAGGCTTTCAAGCTGTGTACCTTTGATATCATGGGAGTGACTATTGTGTTAGCTGTGAAGTGGCATGTAACTTTGTTAGATGACAACTGAATTTATTTTGTGTCAGTTTTTGTTGTACTTTTGGTTTTCTTTTTGTTTCTTTGTTTTGAATTTCTTGTTGGTATATTTTTGTTATTTTTCCTGATTTAGTGATTGGTGTTTAGGGAAGTGACCGTAGTATATTGTGAAAATATTAACTGATTCTCTGTGTTGCACACAAGCTTTTCTTTGTAGCAAAAGATGCTCATCTGTAATTTTGGTCGATTTTGCGAGGGTGAGATAAGAGTAGGGTGGAGAGAGCTTCATTTTAACTTAGCTCTGAAAGGCTTGCAAAAGGGAACAATTTGCTTGCTTTTCTTATATACATACATAATTTCTAGGGGGTGTCTTTTTTTGTTTTTGTTTTGTTTGTTTTGATTTTTTGTATGCTTTTCTGTTTTGTTTGTTAGTTTGCTGATGTTAATTCTTTTTGGGGGGGGGGGGGGGGGGGGGGCTGTATTTGGAATTTCGTCTTTGAACTTGAGTGGAGTTTTCCCAGGTCTTGATAAATGTATCATGTGTGTTTTAGGATGGTTTTCACTTTCATAGGTGTCTTTTTCTTGTTGATATGTTAATTTAATACTTGTGTGGGTGGTGTTTCTTTTTGCAACAGTGTTTGTATCCAAGGAAATTAAACTCCAGAGGTGCAAATTGTTTTCTCTTCTGCCAGTTGTTTTTGTTTGTTTTATTCAATGTTAGTCCTTATGTGAGTATTAGTTGATTCTGCCCCTTGAAATGCTTTAGTCGTAATGATTCTGTTAAATTAATGACACATGCTTGTTAGGCTAATTGTAGATAGATTATGTACCATCTGTAACAAACTGATGTATATATTTATATTATATTAAGTTTATGTTTAAATTTGCTCCTGTAGGTGAAGTTTTTAACTGAATGAAATAGCCTCAATAATGATGATATAAGAGCAACTCTTTCTTTGACAGGATAATAACATAAATACGACTTCTTTTTGTGATGTATCATTTAAAGAAAACAGGCAGGTGTATAACTTTATTTGTGCATTTTCCTTGTAGGTAAGAGTGCCCACACATGAAGATGGCACTTGCCTTTTCTGGGAATTCGCCACAGACTACTATGACATCGGGTTTGGTGTATACTTTGAGTGGAGCGTGTCACAAACCAACACAGTTAGTGTGCACATCAGTGAGTCGAGTGATGAAGAGGATTTGGAGGAGGAGGAAGGCAAAGGTAAGGCCAATTGGTGGAGACTGTTTTCTAGCGTGGCACTTATTGAGTGTCTCTGTCCGTCTACTGGTGTCTGTAGAGTAGTGGTTAGTTGCTTTGTTGTTTCACACAGAAGACCCGAGTAGGGAGAATTTTTTTTTTGAGTATCTCTGCTGTTCTACTTAGATGCTGTATCGCTCTCATCCCAGATGAGCCTTGACAGGTAGGATCGGAAGCCTGCCTCCTAAATAATCAAAGTTTTGTCGATAGGGGCGTAAAAACACCTACGTTTAAAAAAACCGCAAATACATCTGCTAGCCAGAATGTTGTTTCACTTTCAGAACAGGCCAACTCTGGCAGGCAAGATAGAAGCAGTCTGCCTCCTAAATTGCTTGGGGGGGGGGGCTGTAAAGATTTATATAGAAATCATTTGCAACACTTTTTGCCACATGCGTTTTTTTGCTTTCTGGGAGGGCTTTCAATTCACCTTTCAATACACATGTAGTTTCTAAGACACGTTCGTTACCTTTTCCTTTGTTGACATGAAATGTTGGATGGATCAGTCACAGGTCATTTTCGGTGTGGTATAAATCGGGATCTTCAAAGTCTTGAATATTTTGGCTATGGCTTATCCCATCCGTGACTATAGTGCGGTCAAAAATTTGTGGTGCGACTTATTTTAAAATATCTCCTCAACAATCGAACATAGGTTCTTGTATCAATTTGTCTTAACAGATCAACATTTTTTGTAAACACATGAAAGCTGTATTCTGGAAAATTCCTTAATAAATACTAATAAAAAATCCAAGTGGGTGGTTTCTACTGATTTTTCAATGTTTACAGCTGGGGCAATATAGCTTTTAATAGCAAGTCCATCAGGTTTTTCTAATCGGGACATTATGCTTATTGAACGCATGTTTTGAGAGCCATTAGTGCAAAAATGTGTTCACTATAACAATAAGTTCTTGTAACAAGTTTTGCAAGTAAAAATTGTCTTTTATGAGCTGTGACGTAGCCATATGCGTAATCAAAATGTGTGTGGGAAGCGGGAAGTGCTGTGAACAATACCATTTTACGCGTGACAGAGATTTCAAGTATTTTGTATAAATTTATAAAGAAAAGTTTTTTAATCTAGCCCCAATAGCTCTAGAAAAATATGATTTAGTTAAGACAAATTGATACATACTGCTATGCAAAGTATGGATGACATTGATTCACCCGTTAAAGAGATATTTAAGGATAAGTTGCACCACAAGTTTTTGACCGCGGTATAATTTACACAATCAGAGTCACAAGATTAAGTTCAAAACAAAAAGGAACCATCTTTTAAAAGCTGTGAAAGGCTTTTGAAAATGACATGTCATATAGAGGTTCTTTGCTACTATAAATAGATGGTGAAGACATTGAGATTGACCATTCTGTTGGTCACTTACAAGTGTCTGAGTGTAAGAGATAGACTCTCTGTTCTAGGTGTTATGATTCAGAAACAGATGCTCAAGAGTTGTAGGCATATGATGTTTGTATTGTACAAAACTGCATAATCTTGACTATTTACCTGGTCTTTGAAGCGTTCATTCATCCACTGTTCATATTGTGGCGGTCACTAAAAAAAATGAGTACCTTTGAGACTGCTTTACAAGTTGTGTAAATAACATTAGAGTTATTCATTCTTTTTGCACCTGCCACAATAATATGCTTTTGTTGGTGTGCCTTTAGAAAATAAAGGTAGAAATTGGTGTATGTTTTAATTGTATTATTTTGGGTTATCATTTCATGGGTGAGCCAGTGCTTTTGTAGTTGTTCTCAAATACTTTATTGTCTCCGCAGAAGGCAAAGCGAATGATGTTGAAAAAGGTCCCGGGTCCAAGAAGGCGGAGAACCGACCTCCGACAGACGAGATCATCCCCGTGTACCGTCGAGACTGCCACGAGGAAGTGTACTGCGGGAGTCACACATACCCAGGCCAAGGCGTCTACCTGCTCAAGTTTGACAACTCCTACTCCTTATGGCGGTCCAAGACATTGTACTACAGGGTCTACTACTCCAGATAAGGCAAAGTGCATGAGTCATAGGGTTATAGAAATGAGGGAAGGTGGGGGGTCTCCTTGCCTGTCTCCACCCCGCTGCCTCTTTATTCCTTGTCCACATATCTGTGTTTTGAAGAAAAAAAATGTCACCATTTCTTCATACTTTCGTGAGGGCTCAAATAAAAACTAAGCTCTGCCTATGCGCACCCATACCTTTCTTCATAAATAATTTATCATGAAGCATATGTGGACAATAGAATAAAGATTTTTTTATCGTATTGAGCCGATCAGCTCAAGTTTTAAGGGAGTGTTGGGATGGAATAAAGCAGTTCTGAGGTCACTCTGTGTTCTGTGAACATGCAGTGGGTCGGGGGTGTTGTGATTAGGTTTGTTGAGCTTAGAAGACTGTGAAGGGCTCTGAAAAGAAATAAAGAGAAAGCAAGAGAGAGAGAGAGAGAAAGAAAGAGAGAGAAGGGAGGAATTATTTTTGTACTGATAATGTCTGTGATTGAAGCTTACAGATTTGTTGTTGCCTGGGGTTGTTTCCCATCCTTGATCGACTGCGGTGATTCTGTTGGCACATTTCTCTGTGCAGTTGACATGACAAAGTTTTTGTATTCTGTGTTTTGACTACAACTGTAGAGAAATACATCAAGGACATAATGAGCTGATGTTGCTGCATCAGGTTTGTGGATGAAAAAGTCTGCTCAATGTGAGTTGATTTGTTTGTTGGGGTTTTTAAAATGTGGACAACAATGGCCCCATGGCTTTATCTGTGAAGGTTTTGTTAGATAGCAGTGGCAATTGTCTTATCTCATATTCTTTAGGAAATTGTAAGTTGAGACGTAAAACTCAAATTTTGTGAAGTTTAAGGATGATTTTGTTCTGAAAACAATGTATTTCTTTGAAACATCTGATATATACCATACAGTGGCAACTTTTCGGAAGAAATACTTCTTCGGTATAATTTTCCCCCAGTGTTCTATGATGGCACTTGCTCTCGGTTTGATACCTCTATATGTGGATGCATATGTGTCTGAAGTGAAATCTGGAGGTCTTGTCTTTGAATGGGTTATAAATTGTTGGTATTTTCATTACTCATGGCTTGCCATCTCAGGCTTTGTTGGAGCTTCAGGTCTTATACTCAGAAGGTTGTTCAGGGGGAAAGAGTCATTGATCATGCCGTACTGTTTAGTGGCCCTTCTCATTGGAAAAGTTTGCTCTCCAGACAGAGACGCTCCCCACATCCCAGCAGTGGAATAATGGGGTGGAATGTCTACGTTTAAGTGAACTGATTCTTTCTGTTGTCTTTTCATTCTGTGTTCTTGAAGTTACAAGGTCAAGGGCTGGACTGTTGACGTAACGTGTTTGTATATAGTGGGCTGATAAACTCAAACCAGTACATTTGGAATTTGGCACTAGAGATCTTGTCAGATGCTGTCATCTTATTCACTCTCTCTCTCTATTCGGGCAGACAAATTGTACCCCGGACACAATGTGACAATATGAACAAGTTTTCCCACAGGAATTCTCTTTGATCTTAATGGGAAGATTATTTTTAAGGCACCTGTGTTAATCTTTCTGTGATCCTGTTTGGTATGATGTAGAAGTATTGATGATGTTGTTAAACTGAATGAATAATGCAGTTAAAGGATGTCCAGGTAGATGCAAGGTTGATGCGACTGAGGGTACTCTACAGCAGATGGGGAAAGAATAGGAGAGGAGAATAACAAAGTCTCAGGAGAAATGACATAAGTTTTGAGCTTTTAATACCACCTACCATATTATGAGCTGTCTGTTGGCGTACCACCTATCACATTATGAGCTGTCTGTCATATCATAGTTGTCTGTTTCGGTGTACCATCTATCACATTGCGAACTGTATATCTTGGAGTACCATCTTTCACATCTGGGACCTTGTCTTACTGAATTGTGTTTCTTTTTTTACCTTCAGTGTCTCAATCATTGATGTATGATCTCTGCGATTTCTCCATAGACATTTGCTTGGTTTACTTGTGTCTTTTTTCCCCACGGATCCTTGATAATGTTATGACTTGTGCGTTGCCTGAGACAAAAGTTCTGTCTCTGATATGCAGTCACAAGGACAGATATTTGTCTGTTTGCTTTGCTTCTTTTTTTGTAGGTTTACCTTTTCTTTATCATGCCATGATGAAACAGTTTTGAATATTTCCATCTTCACTCTCCATCTTTCCCCATGTGGAGATGATGTGTGGGGAATCTGGGTTTGTTACACTACTTTAACAGAGCAGTTCTTGTGCCAAGAACTCCCTTATGACCCTTCAGTATTGAAACGGAAACATTTTGTGATCCCAGATTGCCTGAGACTGACTTATATAGTCTTTATTTTACTGTAAAAACACACACACAAAAAATCTAGCTTTGTAGGTAGGCTTTTACCTCAGTTTCTGAAGTCATGATTGGTAGTCCCATTTTATCAAAGTTCCCTAGTGGTGCTCACAGGTCCTCAGATATACTCCAGATTCTCATTGTCATGCTACGAGGTGCAGAGATAGAAACATTGTCACCACCATGGTGTAACGTTATCCTCCATGATTCTGCCCTTAGTCGTGACATTTGACCTCAGTGCATTTATCTGACCCAATGAGGGGACAGTGATGTACAGGGTCCATGTTGCATAAAAAATTTGTGTTATTCCAGGGGGTTTTATGCTCACGCTGTAGAGCAGGGTTAAATAAAAATGGAGTTACTCATTTTTATTGCAACAATGATGACGTGTGAGGAAATGAGTTACATGTGAAATCCTTCTCATTTTATGTTTATTGTACTTTTAAAAAAAAAATAGTGCTGAAAGTTTTCTTTAAGAAGTCGGGGGGGGGGGGGGGGGGTTGTGAAGTTTTGTTTTCTCAGAAATGTTGTGTATAAGAATAAAAGATTTTTTTAAAAGGTTTATGTTGATGCATTTGGGCTGAAGCGTAAAGAATGGTTGGTCTACTGGAATGATTTTCTTATCTTGGCAGTCTGTAGAAAAGGGACAAATCTAGTGATACACCTTTTGAACATTTAGTACGTGTCAGCTGTGTCTGTTCTGATTCAGAGCTGTTCCTATTTTGTTCCCTTCTCCAGCTTTTACTGAGAGGGATTTCGATCTGTCATAATCTGACCCTGTGCCAGTATCAATTACTTAATCCAGTTGTTGGAGTGCTACTACACTGTTACATTTGAATGGTTTTCTGTGTGAATCCACTGTTTGTGACCCAACTTGTATGGCTGTTTTGGATTTCGTGTGCGATTGTTTTGTAGGATTTGTGAAAGGAAATGTTTGGGACGTCATACAGTATTGTACAGATCACTTTCATATCGCTGCACCTTCCACTTTGGTTTGTATCATTGTTTAATTTATTATTGCATCTGACGTTCATTGCTTGACTGATCACAGCCTAAGATTTCATATAATACTAATGATTTTTTTTTTTCCTTCAGGGTTTTATTAGAAGTTCTGAGAACTTAGTTTTGTTTGTGTTGCAGACTAATTGAGCCAAAATGTGAACACTCGTAGCTAAGGTTTTCCTGTTTTATTGGAAAAACAGAAGTAGCTTTGTTAATGATGAAGTTTGTACTACCTTGTTGTAAGGACAGAAGATATGGTTGGTGGTGTCTCATATGGAAGGGAGTCCTTGCGATCACCAGGGGGTCAAGATGAGTTGATGGGTTGGCTTAGTCTGTGTCAGTCAGAATGTGCAGCATGTATGCCGAGGGATTTATGTCTGGTCGCCCGTAGCAAGGGATTTTTGTTGCTTCATTTTTCTTTATGCTGTATGTTGCTTGTTTACTAGTAATTTTCATACCCTCTGCCATCACATGACGCTTACCTTGTGGTCCTCATTTGTGGTCACATTCCCCCCCTCACTCTCCACACTCAAGAAGTTTTGTCACAAAATTCAATATGGGATATTTGTTTGCTAAATAGAAAGAATTGAATTTGAGTAGTTTTATTCACATTAAGAAACTTTGTGGGAATATTTTTCATCTTAGATTAACTCCTTGCTTTCTGTGCTGTTCTCCTGGTATTTAGACACAATACGGGAGTGTTGCTATTTGAAAATGCTATGTGGGATGAATTGTAGTATTGTTAAATGTTTTAAAATTCATTTTAAAAACGCCAGAAGGTAGATGGTTCATTCATCCTTCATTAATAGTTTAATGAATGAGTTTGGATAACATTTTGTGGAAGTGTTAAAAGTTTGGGTTTTTTTGTTGAGTTTTTTATTTTGTGGTTTCTGTAGAGCAGCACAGCATGCTGATGAGGTGTTTGTTTCACTGGTCGTTCTGTGAAATGTCGAATGTGTTTTCACACAGCTGCACCCTAATGTCTATTTTTGTTTTCATTTGCCTGGTGTGGGGGGCTGACTAATAGCTTATAGCGTTTTATTTCTGATTTGATTACTAAACTAGATCTTTTTTTATTTCATTGCAGTTCTCCATGATTGTTTCGATTTGTAGTTACTTATTTTATTTGTTTGTCAATGGCATTGGAGAGGCTTGTTGGGATGGGGACAAAAGATGAACTTATGTTTTAGAAAGAGTTAAATCTTATCTCAAACTTCCATTGTTGACAAGTACTGAATCTATGTAATGGAACGTGTTTCGGTTCCTTGAACTTTCAACTGGAAGTTATGATTTCCGGCAAAGTAGTATTTGTGCAAATGTAATTTAGAATAGGATTGTTCGTTATGCCAGAGATTGCCAATGATAACAGTCATCTGGTTTTGTTAGTCATTTCATCGTTAGTAGATCCGTTTCAGAAAAAAATGCAACAGAAAGAAGTTGCTGAACTTTGTGGATGGTTAAGCTGTGTGGCTCGGGAAGGTACTGAGTTGCAAAACATTTTGTTTTAATGGGATGGCTATAGTGAAAATAGACTGGAGCTAAAATCTCTGTCTTGTGATGTCTTTTGTCCTGAATGTATCCTCTAGAGGGTTCTCTGGTCAGCTAAATCATGCACAGTTCTGTCGTGCATATTTAGAAATTCAGCATTGTTTGTATAGATATGGTGGAAATCAGAATGAGTGCTGGTCAGCTTCGTATTGTTGGAACCATCATGATATCCGCTTGTCAAGTAATGAGAACAAGTTAGTGAAAGTGAAGTTGTAATATAGATTGTAAAGCAATATAGAGCTGGCTGTTGAGAGGATATTTGCACTATACAAATACTATTTATTATTATCTTTATTATTAATATTATAGGTTGGAGGAAGTGACAGTATAAAAACTGAGAGGACTGGGCTTTCTGCCATATTTTGTATTCAGGTTGGGAAATATATGGTAAGGTGAATCTTGTAAATTGTTCATTAGATTGTTCATCTTTGCTGTGAGAGCTGACTGCCAGCCTCGTTAAAAGCTTGTGTGTTTGTCTCCGCAATTTTTGCTATTTTTCGTCAAACTAGATTTTTCCCTTGATTTTTTTTTGGTAGTTATAATTATAGATGCTTTTGTGATATGTTTATTTCATCACTTATTAGTCCCTCAGTGATCATACAGTGAACAAAGTTCACATTATGTGGGAAGTTTATATTGTACGTAATATATTATAGTGTAGTATGGGATTTGTTCAGTCAGCCATTAAAACTAGGTACTCTATGTTGTAGATGATGTTCATTTGTAGTTGTTGGGTTTTTTTCAATCTAGGTTTGTGCTTATTCATGTACATGTGTCATAATTCATTATGTTTTAATTCATTTTGAGACATACTTGCCACCATTTTGAGATAATGAGAAACTGAAAAGTTGAGAGTGGAATGCCTGGTAGAATAATGATTGAGCAGATGTGATGGGATGTAAATTTGAGGTCTTTGTGTTCTGCTGTGCTCAGATGTCTCTTCAGTTTACAGCCTAGTGTTGTAGTTTTCTGACAGACGACGAGGGTTAACTGAAACAATCCTCCGAATCTTAATGGTGATTGAAAGTGTAAATTGGGGATGGGTTTCAGTGTTGAATAGCCACCTTATCAGACACAGAATGGCCCAGACAGCGGTGAATGTCACAAGCATACTGCCAATTGGAGGGTAAATTTGTGGGAGATAAATTTTGCAGTTTGTATTTGGTTGTTTATTATCCACAGAAAATGCTCGCTGAAAGTTTGTTTGCTTAAAAGCTTTGAATATTCAAAAGTTGGAGGAATCTTGTGTTGTCATTTGTTTTTGCTTTGCATAAATGCTGGATGATAATTAACCATTTATGTTGTGAGCTGGTTGATATTTTTACTTGAGAACAAAGTTCTTAGAGTGTAAATGAAGTACTTCTTTCATTCCCACTTGCTTATATTTTGTTAGATGTCGTGTACACATCTTGTTTGATGTAGGGCACACTAAGTTGATTGAATGTACCCGTCAACACTAAACATAACAATTTTACTTGTATAATTCTTTTTCTAACAATGGTAACTTCAATATCAATGTAAATGTGGTGATACACAATTTGACAGTAAGTTATAAAGCAATATCATATTTAACTGTGATGAGTTTCTATGACTTTGTGTCGTGGGTTTGGAACTTCTTTCCTCTTGGCCTGTCTACACAACCCTTGGTCCTGTTGACCTTCACCCCTGGTGACTTGAGTGGACAAAGGATCCTCAGAAGGGCACTTGATGCATAGCAGCCATCATGCCTCATAGATTGGACATGGTTTATCCCTTGAATAAATTTTTTTAAAGCGTTGCCAAGTTTTCAGATTTTTCGTTTTGTCTGAAAAAGCTCAGTTTCTTATCTAACTATCCAGATATTTGAAGAGAAACAGTAGAGTTTTATTTTGGCCAAGATAGGTTGACCCTCAATAATGGACAAGCTTTTGTCTCTCTAATTCTGCAACAGTTCACAGGGATACTGTGTTTGTACCCAGGCCTCTGGTTTTAAGAAAATTTAAGATTTCTATCTAAAAAATCTATTTTGTGCTCAACATATTGAGTGTAATGACACGCTCAGTCAGGTGCTGCTTTATTATATGCCTGTGTAGAAGTCTCCCATGTCCCTCTGCCTGTTTCTTATTTTGCTGAGAATAGAGTCAATTGTTTGAGACATTTTGTGCCTCTTTGTTTCTTGAGGAAGCTCCATAAAAAATTGAATGATTCTGATTTTTTGTTCTTTGATTTGAAGACCTTTCTTTTTTTCTAGTGTTGTGGACGTGATTTTCGACTTGTTCTTTTGAATGCATTTATATAAGCTCTGGAAATGTCAATTGATTCACTGGCATCTATGGTGTAATGCCATTACAGGCAGAAGTTAAGAATTCCTTTCCCTTTTGGGAAGGTATTTTTATTAAGTGTCTCTGTCAACTGGGACATTGTATCCCACTCAAGATAGGTTGACCCCTACAGGCAAGGTGGGAGCAGCCTTCCTCCTAAAGGGTTTTGTCCGTGGGGAACATAGAACATTTACAGTCGATCAGTTGGTTCTGGTGGTACCCGTAAGTCGTTACCATGTCTGTTGGAAGCCGTGTGAGTACATCGCAAAGTCACGTGAGATATCTCGTCTTTTTTAGTTTTCTGTTTTGTGTGGTCGTCTCCCCTCCCCCCAATCCCCCCTACCTCGTGGAGGTAAATGTTGGAGTCCCAATGTCCTTTACCTTCTACATGTGTGTACTGAGGATTTGGTTTCTCTCATTGTGAGTGTTCTGTGTTGTGAAAAACTTTCTCTCTCTCTGTTTGTTTCACTCCTCCCACCCCCAGCCCCATGCTACTGCAATAGAATCTGGCTCCATGTTCTTCTGGCGCAACCAAAATCTTCGTACATTGTGATCTTTTATTGTGTTCTCACACCTGTCTGTAAAAAGTAAAAAATATTATTTTAAAAAATGAAGGGAAAAAAAATTCTACACAAATTAAACTATTACTACTATGATGAAATGACGTGATTTTGTGTTTTTAAAAAAATGGTTATTGGATGTTTTGAGTTTTGTCTTTGTGTTTACTTCGAACCAATTTGTCTGTTCAAAAGTACTGTTACAGGTAGTGGGGGGAGAGGTTATTGGTAATAGGTTCGACTTTTTTTCTTTCCCTCTGTCATTCTGTCTATCTATCCTGTTCTTTCCAAGAACTCTATGGCTGTTATTTGAGCATGTGCTTCACTTTTCTTATTTTATAGTAAAGTGAAATAAGCAGAAGTTCTTGCTATTTTTCATTGCTTTTGGTCAGTCATTTCTTAATTTGACACACGGGGACATGGACACTGCCGTCCTACTTCCCTCCTGGTGGTTTTACTCAACAGTAATTTCGACAGCACTTAATGAACGTCGTACCAGCGTCTGTGATGTAGCACTTAGGCACTTTGCTGTCGCATGCAGGAGACCTGCGGATGGCTGGCGGGTGCTCTGGTGTGGTTTGCTCCTTCTTTCCTATCAAACATCTACACTGTATCGTCCCTATCTCCCCTTCTTCTTTTTTATGTTTGTTACTCTCTTGTAACACCTCTAATCTTCTGGCACTCATATGGCCTTATGCAGTTGGAAGCGCCGTAAAACCTCTACTAAAACTAAACTAAACTCTCTTGTAATACGTAATCTATTCTTTAGCACCTTTATGGCCTGTGTTGCAAGTGCCGTAAAACTCTTTCTAAAACTAAAGACCCGAGATCTATTCCCGAGTGGGGAGAAATTTTTTATCAAGTACCTCGATATTTCTTTTGGGATGTTGTATCCCTCTCAGCCTGGGTTGGCCCTGATAGTCAGGATCAGAAGCCTGCATCCTAAAAGATGTAAATTGTGTCAATGGGGATGTATAAACACCTACAGTGGGTGGTTGGCGTGTGCTTTGGTGTGGTTTGCTTCTTCTTTCTTTACAAACATCTATCGTCCTTATCTCTCCTCCTTTTTTTGTTTGTTAATCTCTTGTAACACCTAATCTTCGGCACTTATATGACCTTATTGTGTTGCAAGTGCCGCAAAACGCTTACTTAAAACAAACAACGCCTATTTTTAAACAAAAAGTGTAAAAGACTACTGTGATTTAGTAGTACAGTAACAGGAGCAGTAAGAGCTGTTGCACTCTTCCCCACCCGAAAGAAGGCTCTAGGCGATTGAATTTTAACGTTATTGTTGTCTGGACAGAGCTTATAACACTCGAAAACATTCTCAGCTCCCTGGGAAGGGTTGGGTGCAAACTGCCCTCTTGCAAGCGCCCAAACAATAGCGCATTGAGTCTTGACACTGACATGATCTTTCTCGGTGAAGTGAAAAAAAATATTTTAGTTTAGTTTTAGTAAGAGTTTTACGGCACTTGCAACACAATCAGGTCATATAAGTGCCGAAGATTAGAGGTGTTAAAATTTTTTTTTAAAGACTACGAACCCCGAAAACAGGATATAAATGTGAACCTAGCTAACAAAAGTAGTAAAGAAAGAGTAACAAACAGAAAAAAGAAGGAGGGGAGATAAAGATGATAGATGTTTGATAGGAAAGAAGAAGCAAGCCACACCAGAGCACCCGCCAACCACCCACAGAAAAATATTATGTGTCAACTGTCTTCCAGAAGGACATAATGCTAGGCCCTGGTCCGGATTCAACAAACTCAGGGCTTTTCATTTATGAGCCTGACAGTGAGGCCACGTGTCGAGCACATCAGTGTGACGACAGATCTCAGGTTAATGAATTGTTTTTTGGATGAGTGTTTTACGGCGCTCGCTACTGCATACGGTCATATGAGCGTGCGGAACACATATAATACTTTCAGCTGGTAGGAAATTTTGAATTTTGCCCGGGTGGCGACAGAAGCCCACTCTATTCTTATCGACTTTGGGTCACCAAGGGATCTTTAACGTGCGCAACTTGCACACGGGACATCCGAGATTTTCCTCCCTTTTCTGAGAAGAGCTACGTGTAGATCTTACCTACCATAAGATCAAGGATGAGGCTGAAAAACAGCACTAAGAAGGAGCCAAGGAGTAGCGGTAGAAAAGCTGCTGAAAGCATCAGGAGCCCAGAGAAGGGGGCAAAGGAGGTGAGGGGTGGGGGCAGAAAGTTGAGACGGAAGCAGACGACAGAACACTATTTGAGAGCACGAAAGGAGGTTGAAGAAGAAAATTTTCCGTTGTTGTCCGGATTCAAACCAGAGACTTATTGCATGGGAGGGGAAGACCGTAACCTCTCGACCTCGAAAACCCCCCTCCCCCTGAAAATCTTTGCTCTGGGAGAGAAACAATCAAAGGAGAAAACAATATTATAATTATATTGATTATTGGCACAATAATTTAATGTCAAGAAACGTGGTGAAATGACAGTGCAAGGATATAATACATGTATCGTATAAAAATGCTGCAAGTTGTCAATAAATTATAAGTAGATTCTTATCAAGGCATAATTATACATCATGTACGTTGTTTTTCTGGGAGTTTTATTGAAATACAGTTGTCGGGTGAATACATGACTCAACATGAAGACAGCGACACAAAAGAACGGTAAAGCAGAATAATGAATGCGTAAATGTTGTATGAGAACATTTGATACAAATAAAGAAAAACAGTTTTTAAAAAAATTGAAGAAAAAAACACACAACCAAAATAAAAAAATCAACTTCAGTTTGCACATAATTTTGGACGGAATGAATCATCAACATAATGCGTATAATAACAGTAAAATGGATGTCTTTCCTTTCTTTCTTTTGTGTGTTATTAATCTGAAACTTATTAAGAGAATCTCGTTCGCGTCTGTTCCTTTCCATTCGTTTTGAGAAAACTTATAAGACATCACTCTCGCTCGCTGTCTGGTTTTACAGTTTGCCCCTCTTACTACTTTGCGCACGTTTTAAATGGTAAATATCAAATACCTTCCCCTCTCTATTTGTATTGCTCTTTCTTCTGTAATAAAAAAAACAAAAAACTCTCCTCCCCTTTTTACCCCCCTCCCCTCTCTTTTACAATGTAC